ATATATATATATATATATATATATATATATATATATATATATATATATATATATATATATATATATAGGGTGTCCCGCGTAAGATGGACCAAAAAAAAATATAAGTAGTAGTAAAAAATATAATACATAAAAGTGAGCAAAAATTATATAGGTCGTTTTTCAAACAACCACGTAAAATTTCGAGATATTAATTAAAATAGTTGAGCATATCAGAGCGCGGCGAAACGGCAGGCGGGACATACGGCTCGCCGCGGCCGGCGAAGAAAATGGATGATTGCTCGCGGGTCTATCTTATAGACCAGAGAGGTGGGCCGTTTGGCATACTGAAATGAATAGCTCCGTGTGTGCGTTCGTGTACGTGTGCGTTCTTCCATTTTCTTCGCCGCCCACTGCGAGCCGTATGTCCCGCCTGTCGCGTCGCGCGTTCTAATTTGTCCAACTATTTTAATTAATATCTCGAAATTTTACGTGGTTGTTTGAAAAATGATCTATACAATTTTTGTTCACTTTTATGTGTTCTACTTATATTTTTCTTTTGGTCCGTCTTACGCGGGACACCCTGTATATATATATTTAAACTTATTGTACATACACAGTGTTGAGTAATTACGTATTATTTATTACACGTTGAATAATTACGTATTATATATGATATATATAATATTTTTGTTAATAACTTTTTAATAAACAATGAGCGACGATTAAAATCTCTTGACTGTTACTCAAGAGGATGTCCTTGATAATATATGTCAACATCAAGATCATTGAAGGGTGGTCCCCTATTCGGCATTTTTACCAAAATATTTTATTTATCAATCTAAAAGTAAACGCGATTATGGAAATTAATAAAATTTTTAAATCAAAGTTTTATAAAAATAGTATCGAAAATTATTTGTAAGATGACAAAACGTTATAAATTCAAATAATAAATATATTTTGCATTAAACTTAAATATTGTTTTCTATTTTCATTAAAATTTATATTTGGACAGTTATAAATGCGCAATTACTTATCAGGTAATATATATAAAAATCAAAATATTTATTAATGTATACTCATCTTGTATGCGCGTGCATGTGTATATTATAGTGTATGTTATTTTGTTCATTACATAATATTAAAATTAAATTTTATATTAATATAATATTAATATTAATATTTTTATTTCCAGCTTATATATAATATATTAGAGTATAGTGGTGTTAATACAAGGCAAAACAATCTATTTGATCGAGAAGCAGTTGCAAAAATAACTAAAAAACTATTTAAAGGACTAAATGGAGTGGATAATATATACACACAACATTGTCCTCTAATAAATGAAACGTTAGAGGATTTAATAAAAGGAAGATTAAGTACACATACATTTCCATATCTTGGTAATATGATAATGTCACGAAGGTAAATTGTTTATATATTAAAAGGAAATACACACGTATTATGTTATTTTAATAGGTTTTAAATTTTCTTGAATCTTAAATTGATATATAATTATTACATTTATTACATTTCAGACCTCAGGACATTATAGTATTTATGATCGGAGGTGCAACTTACGAAGAAAGTCTAGCAGTTTATAATCTAAATAAACAAAATCAAGGCATAAAAATTATTCTAGGTGGTACTACTGTACATAATTTCAAAAGTTTTACAGAAGAAGTACATCATGCTACTTCAGGCATTTTAATGCGATATAAAATCGGAAAAAATTAATAATTATCTTAACATTTTTTAATATCTCAAAATATTTATTTATATTCTTATATATTTTAGTTTTTACACATAATTTGATATCTTTTTTCTGTTTCTCTCTGTTATAAACATACAGCAATATTTTACATAAAGAATTCTGGATACAATAAATATTATGTGATGTAATTTTGTATAATTCGTATTTTTTATGAAAATTGCATTTCCTTTATTTTTTATCTAGAAAAGATGATATTTTTCTTTATTGATTGCTATTCATCATCTTCATCACTTAATATGTATTCTGCCGGCAAATCCAAGATTTCATCATTCTTTACTGGTACCTGTAACAGACATATATTAATCAACATAAAAATGAAACAAAACAAAGAATCTATATATGTTGTATTATGTATTTACACATTATATGGAATGGATGTTTTTTTTTAAATACAGCGAAATAAAATAATACTGTAATAATAATAATTCTAATTTGTCGGAAATTTAGTAAGTTCATATTTTGAAAATTGTTCGACATGTGTCAAAAATTTTGTCACTAATATATATTTACCTTACAAATATTTACACACTTATACGTCTAATACATGTAACTTTTATGATCGTTAAATAATTAAACTGATATGTATAAACATTAATTCGTTTAAATTTTGTTTTTATTTAGAAATACCTCAAATATTAGATATCCAGAAAAGTTCTTGTCGATTTTCGTTGGTCACAATTCTAGGGATTTTTCTAATTGAAAACTAATATGTATATATGATACATAACTCGAACTATAAGATATGTTCTCTGAGTCATTCAATTGTCACATTTTAAGGCTAATCAGAAATAGATTATGAGTGCATGTTTATTATAGAAGTTGGTTTTCAAACTTCAAGTTTTCAAACTTGGTTCTAATGCATCAGAAGCCTGTCGAAAGATTTGTATGTCATTTAGAGAAGATAAAGAAACGAACTATTCGAAATTAGTTCCAAAAGTTTGCTTCAGGCGATGAGAGCCTTGAGTATGCATCTCGATCTGGAAGACCACTTTTCTTAAATGATGAGGATTTGAGGACTGCAATCGAGACAAATTCGAAATTGACCTGCAGAGAACTTGCTAGTTTAAATAATAAATTCACTTTAAAACAATATCTTTCTTTAATTTTCACATGAAAAACGGCAAAAATTTTTCTGGACATCTGATATATGATCAATTATATGAAATAAATGAATATTATCTATTGCACATCAAAATAATATATAAAATGACTTGTAAATATGAAAATCATATAAATTAACTAAAGATGGTAAATATATAAAAAAATTGGGGTAATTATTTAGTTTAGCGGATCTACCTCCAATGACCTTGACCTTGATCCAATATATAATTTAATATATTATTAAATTAATAAATAAATAAATTTAAATATATTATTTAGACTTGACATATATAATAGAGGTCACCCTCCTGAGTGACCTTCTGAAGGTTTTAGCCGGCGGTCATTGTTTGTTAAAAAGTTATTAATAAAAGAAGTTGCATAAAATGAGTGTAATTTTTAGACACCGTATATACAAAGTGAGCAGTGTGTGCGTGCGTGTGCGCGTGCGTGCGTATGCAACTGAACGTAACACATTGTTCCGAGTGACATAATATAACAGTTTAGACTTGTTTAGGTTAAGTTAGGTTGTCACTCGCGACAATAGGTCCGTTCGGGGAGCTCGCTATTGACTTGGTTTACATCGTACACTTAATACGCGTACTAAATAGTAACTTTCTATTAGATAATCTTAATATCGACGATATATATAAACAACGATATATTAAACTAATATAATACTCATTAAAATACGTATTGTATTGATTGAATGCGTCGCCGTTTATATGCATTATCGATATTAAGATTATCTAATAGAAAGTTACTATTTAGTACTCGTATCAAGTGCACGATGTAAACCAAGCCATTAGCGCTATTCAGCGCTACCGTGTCATTCTATCCTTGTTGTTAATCTAAGGAGCGATAAAGATAGAAGAACGCGGTAGCATTAGTAGCGTGCTTCACGAACGCGTCCAATGGGTGCACGCTACTAACGCTACCATGTTCTTCTATCTTTATCACTCCTTAGAAAAACAACAAAGATAGAATGACATGAATATAGCGATGAATAGCGCTAATAGCGAGCTTCCCAAACGCACCTAATGTGTTACGTTCAATTGCATATGCACGCACGCACGCACACACACATACTGCTCGCCCGTCTGCGGGCTCACGGTGAGTGCGTATGTATATATCAAACGACACGGTAGTGTCGCGAAGCCAAGTGCAAGCGCGAAGCAACGCGGCCTACCGTGTATAATTATGTGATGGCTTTAGTTCAATATAGATTAGATTTTCATTTCGGCTATAATGGCTGATTGATGAAGTTCTGGAGGGACTTAATTGATTCCTTGGGTTTACATTACATAATAAAACTGTCTTTACTTTTTCTCTGCTCCAGAAGCTGAGCTATCTTAGCTCAAAATCTGAAATCGTGAATTTACGCGTAAGAAACGTCTCCTCACCACAGAAATGTCCGTTGACTATAGGCGATTTTTAGCGATCATTTGGTATGTGTATCAAAGTGTACTAAAGTGTACCAGAACGTTTTAGCGTATTTAATAACGTGTGGTACAAGCGTAGCTAACCGTTTTGGTATCTACCTGGTTCATACCAAGTAGGTTATACTACGTAGTAAAGTACTACGAAGTAGAATACTGTCAGGTAAGTTGCAAATGCGCGCTAAAATATATGGAAATATGTTACATCTGTCTAAGTATAGCTTCCGGAATGGAGCCGTGTCTTGAATCAGCGATGTGCCGACGTTTCGCAAACGTTGCAGTTTGCATCATCAGGGCTGAGAACTCTGATACTGAGCTCCCTTGGGTAAAGGTTGTCCTTATATCCCTCCCTCCCCCCCTTGTGTAGATGGTGTTAGGGAGTAGGGGACGAGGCTTGAATCCAGCCAATCAGCGTATTTTAATTGATCAGCTGGTCAATTAAAAAACCGGGAGGGCAGTATGCCAAATAGAGTTTACTTGCATACCTTTGTCTCGGTCGAGGTTGTTGGGATGTTTTAAAATTTTTAGACCTTCACGATGTTTTCTGGCAAAATAACTCTGTGAGGGAGCCAATCTGGTGGCTTTTTCATATTGTACGGAGTGTCCAGTCTCCATCCAGTGTTCAGCTAGGGCTGATTGAGTAAAGTGACCATACTTGGTACATCGCTGGTGTTCCTTGATTCGCGTACTGATCTTCCTCCCGGTTTCTCCTATATAAACTTTACCACAAGAGCAAGGGATCTTATATACACCTGATGTTTCTAGGCATGATTTCTGATCCTTCGGATTTGGGAGTAAATGGGAGAGCTTCCTATGTGGTTTGAAGATTACTTTGATTTTGTGTTTACCCAGAATCCTGCTGATAGGTTCTGTTATGCCCTGGAAGTATGGAAAAACAGCCGTCTTTCTCTTTTCTCTCTCTTCATCTAGTGTGTCAGTGTTTTTAGGACTGACAATTCTGTTCTTCTGGTTTTTTATTTGCGAGATGTTTTTGCTGTTGTTGTA